ACCCCCGGGGGGGTTGTGGAGGCCCTTTGGGGGGAGAAAAAAAAAATTTTTTTTTTAACCCCCCATTTTCCGGGGGGGGGTTGGGCCCTTAAATTTTTTTTTTTTTGGGCAAAACCCCCATTTTTTTTTTTCCCCCCCCCCCCCCGGGGGGGGGGTTTTTTCCCCTTTTAAGGGGGGGTTTTCGTTGGGGTTTTTTTTTTTTTCCCCCCCCCTTTTTTTTTCCCCCCCCCTTTTTTTTTTTTTTTGGGTTCGGCCCCCCCCCCCCCCCCCCCCCCCCCTCCCACTCGACATCGTCTCCCTCGAAATTGGTAAGGTGTACCCAAAGACGATCGACCTCAATGCGTCCGTGGAAGATCCTCGAATCATGGGCGTCATCAGAGAGCAGGGGGGAAAGGTAAAGGTTTGATTAGATTCCTGAGTGAAGCATTGTGGTGCGACGCCGCTGACTTTCACACGGACTTCTATGCTCGTCAGGCTTGGAAGTAGTTGTTGAAAGAGGCGTTTCTTGTGGACAGGTGAGTCCTTTGTTCACTCCATGTATGGATTTTTACTATTTACGAAGAAAATGAACGGGCTGTGCAGATGTGAGCGTGTGGTGTTTTTTGTTGTTTCGCACACGATCATGAGAGCGTTCCGGGGGAGCAGCCAACTCGGTACTGCTGTAACGTATTTTTTGTTCTCTCCTTTTTCGTGTATTTTGTTGTCTTACACCTCGGTCCCTCCTCCCGACGATGTTGCAACATCTTTGTGAAAATGATCGACAATGTGTTCAGACTGCGGCAGTTTTTCTGCAGGTTTTCTTTTTGTTCACCTCCTAGCTGCTTCCTACTCCGTTCGCCCCGTGCTTATGAATTATGCTTTGCGACACCCGCTCGTGCGTCAATACTGCTGTGTGGTATTTGTTGGGTTTTTTGGTAGCGGCTTCCGCGCTGTGTTGTCCTCTCCAGATACGGTCTTAAAAAAAATTCTTCGTGGTTTGCCGGAGGTTAATTCCACGACGCGCGTACGCTTGCTTCTATGTGCAGATGTACATGTCGATGGGGAACTGGGGCCAGGCGTACAACGAGTTTTACGAGGGGTTCCGGAACTATCAGGAGGCGGGGAACCCTAACGCGAAGGTAAGGGGATTGTTACGCATGATGCTGCTGGCGTAGCAGTGACGGTATTGCCGTGGAACTTCGTTAATATATGGTGGAGGTATGATAGTCACGGATGGTGCTGGGGGTGTAGCTGTGACAGTATTGCTGTGGTGAGCGCCGTTGATGTATGCGGGGGAGTTATTGGAGTCACACATGATGCGCTGGGGGTGTAGTTGTGACGATGTTGCTGTGATGGGGCTTCGTTGATGTGTGCATTTGGGTTGTGATAATTATGGTGGTGGTGGTGTAGCGATAACGATATTGCTGTGGTGGTGATGGTGGTGGTGGCGATATATCAAAGGCACGCACGTACACCAGATGAGATTCATGTGGCGACTACTGTTGGACCTACGCAAGTCTTACCCCCTCCGCTCTGCTTGTTGTTCGTGCCCTCTTGGTTTGGTCATCTACCAAGAACGATCTAGCTCCCTGAATGGGGCTTTCTGAGAATGCCATCAAGAGCGTGTGTGTTCCATCACTCAACATCAAGTTGAAGCTACGTCCACTATAAGACCCTTTGGTGTTTGCAATGTGATCCTGCACAAGAAACAGCAGTGCAGTACATAACCTGACGGCCGTGTTTTCTGTTGTTTATGCATCATCCGGATTTTGTTGCTGTAACGCGCGTGCGTGGGTGACAGGTTTGTCTCAAGTACGTGGTTCTGGCGAACATGCTGGACCTTTCGCGCATCAACCCTTTCGCGGCAAGAGAGGCAAAAGTGTGAGTCTGGTAGCAAGGGACCATCATCATCGAAAAGCTAGAGATGGTATTGGGTGTGAGTGAGTTTTAACGGGATCACTTTGCAGCGAACTGGTCGTGCGGGCGCCAGCGAATTAGATAGTCGTGTGGGAGGTACGGAGTGGTGCGTTGATGCTATGTGCGAAGAAGAACTGACCAAGGCCGTGCCCCCTTAACACCCCCCGCAGGAAGTATGGTTGGTTGCCCCGTACAAGGCCGGCGACATCCCTTGTCACCCTTGGTTCTTCTTCAGGAACCACGACTGCCCTTGCATATGCGATTAGTATCGAGTAGCCGTTGGAGGGAGGTGGGGCGTCAATTTATTCTTGTGGGGTAAGGCAGGGCGTCGACTTCCGTTCACACGAAGCTCGAGCAACTGCTGTGAAAAAAGTGCATCACCGCTCTCGCTTCCTGCTCCAGAGGTCTCGGTCCGCAAAACGACGCCCCCGTCTTTTGTAGGGATGCATGCAAGGTGAATGGTCCAACGTCTGTAGCACGGGCGTGAATTACCACCTCCCTTCCCCCTGTCCCCCAACCTGCTACACGCAGGTTCCAGGAGGAGAAGGAGATCGTGGCGATGATGGACCTGCGCATGGCGTACGAGGGGAACGACCTGGCCAAGTTCGAGCGGACGCTGCACGACAAGCGCAACCGCATCACGGAGGACCCCTTCGTTATGACGTACCTGGGACCCCTCAGGCAGCGCATACGGGAGTCGGTGCTCATCCACCTCTGCAAGCCGTACAAGAAGATCACCATGGGGTTCATGGCGGGGGTGAGTGTGGCGAGCCTTTGGCTGACGTTCGTGCGCCTACAGTATCCGGGTCTAGCCGGATTTCTGGTTCGGCTGGACCCACTCGCTTCTTTCCTTTTGCGGACGGGGTTGCATGGGCGAGGTATCTGGGAGCGCTCTTCCTGGGAAAGGGGTCTTGGTTTGTGGCTGTGGTGCATTGCCGGTGTCTGGGAGCTGTTCACCGATCGGTGGCATCCATTGTCTTCTGGTGCCTTGCTTTGGGTTTGCTGCGTGGCTGTGGCCACGGACTCGTTGGTTTGGGTGAAGGGAACCGAAGACTTAAGAGTACGGCAGTAGTGGCTCCGATGCAAGAGTGTGGTGCGACCATGGCCCTCGACTCTATTCTATCGGAGCCCCCTCGTTTACCGGAACAAAAGGGTACCCAGCTATACTAAATACGTGGACCGAGTCCGTGTGACAACTGATTTCTACTCTCGAATATCGGAGCCCCCTCATATCAGGTACCCTGTTGTATCGGAGCCACGACTGTAAGTCTGACGTGGGTCAGAGTCGATCAATAGTTCTCGTTTGTATTTGTTTTCTGATTGCAGGAGCTGAGCTTAAAGACGGCGGAGGTGGAGAAGCTGCTGATCGACCTCATCTTGGACCGCAGGCTCAACGGCAAGATCGACCAGATCGAGGGCTTCTTGCTGCTGGACGGGCCACTGGAGACGACCACCTCCCGCAAGCACGACGCCATGGAACGGTGGAGCAACTCCCTCCGATCCCTCTCGTCCTTCGTGGCGGCGAGGGTCGAGTGCTAGCCGGTTGTGGTGGTTATGTTTTTTTAGCGCACACACGACGCGGCTTGTGTCTTGTTGAGAACCTGGTGTGGGGCTAGGGTTCCAATCTCGCAGCATGTCCTTGTCTCTTCCCCTCTCCTCCTGAACTCGGGCAGGTCTTGCGTGGTGATACTGTCGGGTTTTTTTTGTTTTTTGGTCTCTCTCTCCACCTCGCCGTCGTCTCTTTCTTTGTTGGCTCGCTTGCGGTTGGCGCGGGTCTTCTGTTGTTTATGCTGTTGTCGTCGGTGGTGTTTTTTGGTGTCATCTTTTGTATTGGCTGTTTGGTTCCGTAGAACGTTCTCCTGCTTCTCTGGAGATGAGACAACGGTACGTGTTGTTAATCCCCCGCCCCCAGGCGATTGTGTCTCGAAGTCTCCCCCCTCCTTTTCACGTGGGCTACATGGAAATAGGGGTCACGTTTATCAAATGCGATAGTATGGCTGTGCATGACCACGGATGGGGGTCCGTTTTCATGCCCACCGTTTTCGCTCCCGCTTGCTTCTCTGCAGGCATCTGGGCGGGGTAGCACCGGACGGGACTTTTTTCTTTTTCTTCCCTTGTCTACCCCGTGGCAATATCACATCTTGTTTACCCTGTGTTCACCTGGAAATTGGCGTGGCCGGCCGGTTGCAGGGCACACACTTGTTCGTTGGTGGATGATGCAAACATGAAGGAAGGCAGACAGCAAGTATATAGCAGTGTGGACAACTACCTCTACCTGTATCCATGTAGCAGTGATCTTGTTCGTCCGCGTACAAAGAGAAAAGGACGGGGGGGCGACCGGTGCTGTGCCATTGAGCTCGTTCTGGATACGAGCATTTGCTGCGGTCCTTGTCGACCCTCGTGTGGGTGGTTCCACGGTTTCTGTACCAACAATTTTGCGGGATTTTCTGTTTCGCCTCTCAACGGGACGGGTGGGATGATTTCGTGGGCTCTCTTTTTCCACTCCACGGGACGGGCTGTCATACCATGATTCCGCGGCTCTCTCACTCTCACGAGGGGGATTCGTTGCATGGCATGGGTGGGGGCTGTCTGGCAGATCGTATGCAAATAAATCACTCGTTGACGTCGGACCGACGGTGCTGACAAGGAGCAGGCTCCCGTCGACACGGCGTGGACGGTCGGTGTGCTCATCAGGAACGGCTTCTTCGTCGTCGGCGGTGGGCGATGTCAACTGCTAGAGTTGGTTAGGCTTGACGCGCGTTCATCGTTGAGGTTAGCACCGGGGGGAGGGGGAGGGGAGGGGGTGAGAACGCCCCGCTCTTGTGTGTCTGTCGTAGAGCTAGTTCTGTGGTGTTTTCTGGGGGTGAGGTGTGTAGTATGTCGTTTTTTGGTTTTTTGTATGCACGGGTCCCCACGAATTTGAACTTCTTGAGGGGATGTGGGGTCTGGAGCTAGCTGCCTCGCGAGTTGGACGTTGTGGTTCCATCGTGTGGATCTATTCTTGTTTGTGGCGAGTTTTGTACTCTCGTTTCTGTCGTCCTCTTGTCGGGATGGGCTTTCCTTGGTTTGGTAGAGGAAGGGAGGGAGAAGAGACTGCCAGCAGTTCTCGTTCGATGTTCAAAGTTGGATTGCTTGACTTGAGTGCAGTCGAGGGGGGGGGGGGGGGCAAGAAGACTGCCAATAGTTGTCGTGAGACGGTGAACACACTTGACGCCTGTGACCTATGCGAGGTGCGAACGACGCACGTGCAAGGATGTCTCGAGAAGAGAGTGGACGGGTACCTTTGCTTCGGAGAGACTTGTGCCGATAACAACGCGGGTGCACCAAGCGCTAGTGCCCCGTGTCGCGACGCCTCGATTCCAGCCATGCACGCCGGGGTGCAGAGAAACCATATGTGAACACGACCAATGCCCGGCGGTTCGTTCAGTAGTATGTAGCACGTCAGAGGCACCGCCCTGGCGATGTTGCTTACCTCATGGAGTATGCGCGAATAGGCGTTGCTGCCAAAAAACGAGGCGTACTTCACGACGTGCGTGTTTCTCTGCGCCCCCCCTCCATGTTGCTTCAAGATCGTGTTTTCCCGCATGAACGCGTTGAAAAGCTAAGCAACAATTGTAGAGAACACCGAAAACACCATCAACATGTAAGTGGGACGAACGGGGAAGCGAGCCAACGAACTTGTCTCGCTATGTAAGCGCTAGCACAACCACCGTCACATGCAGACACCTCAACCACAGCCACGACGGTCCCGCGGAGGCCTCGCCGTTGTGGAAGCCACCCCCCCCCTCGTCGTGTTTCATCCGTTAAATCGCACACGCAGTCTCAACGTTGTGGTACAGCATACGCCGAGGCATCACTTGCAGGAAGCAAGTCCTAAATAGCAACAGCTGCGACTTTCCTCGACAAACGCAGTACAAGAACGCCTCAGGAACCGAGGCACCCCGTCCTCTTGCGGGATAACCGACGCGATTTCGGTATGCGTCTCCGATCGCCTTCCTATCCCTGCCCACCGCCGCCTCTTTCTGACAGCAGCAGCAGCAGCAGCAGCAGCAGCGGCTACCCCAAGATGTTCCCATCACCTCCCCCCGCTGGCCTTGCCTCTCTTCCTCTGGCTGTGCCCTTCGACTCCTTGGCTGACGCTCTCGCTGCGGCCTTTTCCGCAGCCCTGGCGGCTCTTGCCGCCGCTTTTTCTGCCGCCTTTGCGGCTTTTGCCGCGGCCTTTTCTTCCGCCTTCGCGGCTTTCGCTGTCGCTTTTTCTGCCGCTTTCGCCGCCATTTCTGCCGCCTGCGTAAGCAGTACACGAGGGAACAGGCACGCAGGATGCGGCAGTAGGGTGCACTAATGAAAACATATGCTCAAGTCCTTAGGTCATTGGCCTCGCATGTCAAAAAAATAACGGGATGGAGCGATAATGCCGGGTTTTCGCCGGCCCGGGCTGAGTTTCACAAGGATGACCTGGCTATGATCCTAGCGGTTACCGTGCCAACCAGATATGCTACGGCATCCCGGCTAACCAAACATCTCACGTTCGGCAGACACGACTACTGAAAGGGGCTTCGGAAGGGGACGGGGGAGCAGCACTTCCGGGGGGGGGGAGGCGCTGGTTCCGGTGGCGTGAAGGACAATGACCCAGAATGATTTCCCCCCCCTACTACTCTCAAGACGTTCGCCAGCGGTTTCCAAAACGACAGCACTGCATACATACGCGCGAGAGTGTGTGTGTTTCCAGCATAAGAGTAATACACCGTATCGCTACACACGCACCACCTGCCGCTGTAATTTTCATCCATGCTATCTGCCCACGTCCAATTCTGTATCTACAAGCGTGTCTGTCAATTATTTGATCTCCCCATCGCTTTGTCTGCCTATCTATCTCTCCATCCATCTCTTCAACGCCCCGTCTCCCTCCCTCTCTCTCTCTCTCTCTCTCTCTCTCTCTCTCTCTCTCTCTCTGTCTGTCTCTCTCTCTCTGTCTGTCTGTCTGTCTCTCCCTCCCCCCCTCCCCCCCTCTCTGTCTCTCTCCGTGGTTCCCCTGCAATCGCACGCACACCTTTGCTTCCGCCTTCTTCGCGGCCTTGGCTTCTCGCTCGCTATCCCTCGCCCTCTGCTTCTCCTCCTTGCTCTTCTTGGACTTGATGTCCTTCTTCCTCTTCGCCAAGGTGGCCTCCGGCGTAGGCCCTCCCGACCCTCCCGCCGCCAGGCTGTCGAATTCCTGGACGTTCTTAAGCCCCTGTGTTTCGAAGGCGATCAAACAAACGCGGCATTGAATATTGAACGAAAAAAAAACACCCACACTAAAAAAAAACGAATGCAGGACGACAAAAGACATGCAGAACGAAAAGAAGGAAAAAAAAAAGACCATGTAAGAGCTAAGCGGTTACGTTGCGATACGACACATTGCGATGCCAGAAACGCCTTTGTTCTCGAGGGAAAGCTCAAGACGTGAAAAACGAAGGCAGAAATCCAAACGAACGACTACCTGTGGCGGTGTTTGATCCCCTCTGCTTGTACGTGGAAGGACAGCTAAGCAAAAAAAAAAGAAAGGACACACTCAACGAATGGGGAAACGAAATTACAAGCACGGGGGAATGAAGAACATGTCGCCCCAACGTGTGAGCACACGTGTGTCTCTCGAGAGAGCACCCGAAAATCCCAGCAGAAAAACGGCAAACAATACAATCGGGCACGCTTGGACTGCTGCGTCTCAAAACACGCATGTATCGCGCGTGCAACGAGGGTCCGCGCGCTTGAGTTCATCGGGCGCTCACCGAGACGACAAAAAAACGCCTGTATGCATGTGAGAAACCTTTTCCCACAAAACGAAACGTCTGCGAGGATGAGCACTTGTAGGCCGTGCCCCGTACCACCCAGAAACCATGATTTCGCCCCCCTCTCCTCGCCCCCGCTAACCGGGTGCAGCAGTCCCGCCCCAGCGGTGGTGCCACAACCGTATCTAGCACCAGTACTTTCATTCCGAAGGGAAAAAAAACTGCGACTTGTTGAGCGCTAACCGTGTCGTCCCAGTAGGACTTACCGAGCTGGTTGGCAAAACCAATCGCATCGCCACTGCCGGGTCAGCCCCCCCCCCACACCCCTCGTTGTAAAACAAGCCGCCCCCCCCGGTGTTTGCCATCGGGGTTGGGTTTTCGTCGCTTGGCAACGACGTTGTAAAACAAGCCCCCCCCTCGGTGTTTGCCATCGGAATTGGGTTTTCGTCGCTTGGCAACGACGTTGTAAAAAAACGCCAATTCACTTCGTGAACTCGGCAACCAGGTTACCGATTTTTTTTTTAACTCGTTTTTTTTTTTTTGGCGGTAACCATAATGGTGGTCGAGTAGATCATGTTGTGCGGGGTCGAGAACCCTCAATCCGCGCAACGGGGATGATCGCACCACGTTGTGTTAAAATGGTCAAGCATCCATGAGGCAGTTACACAGTGCTTACAACTGTCTCTGGAAGTGAAAGCACCAGAAAATAAATTTAAGTCATACGTAGCTGTCATCCGTACGCAAGGAAGTAAGCACAAGATGCCGAACACCCTTAGCAGGATGCAGCTCACCCTTCATGCGACTCGCCAAATACCTCACGGCGCTTCGCGCTTGGTGATGTGAGAGCCTGGTCCGGTGAGAACCCGGCATGCTCCGTCCCGGCTTTGTAGGGATGCGAGGTCAATGGTCAAACGACTACGGCATGCACGACTATGAGTACACCCCCCCCCCCCATGCACCCCCCCCCCGGGGTTTGTCATCGGGGTTGGGTTTTCCTCCCTTGGCAATGACGTTGTAAAATAAGCCCTCCCCTCGGTGTTTGCCATCGGGGTTGGGTTTTCGTCCCTTGGCAACCACGTTGTAAAAAAAGCCAATTCACTTCGTGAACTCGGCAAAAAGGGTACCGTTTTTTTTTTTTACCTCTGGGTTTTTTTCGGCGGGAACCATAATGGGGGGCGAGTAAAACATGTTGTGGGGGGTCCAAAACCCACAATCCCCCCAACGGGGGAAGATCCCCCCACGTTGTGTTAAAATGGTCAAGCTTCCT